AATGTTCACTATGTTAGCTTAAGGCCCCAGGTCTGTCTTGGGCTTCCCCTGGCAGCGGTGGGGAGGTGTCAAGACTGGGGAGCACAGTGCACCCCTTGCTGAGGGTCCAGGCCTGCACTGTGGGCATGAGGTGGGTAGCAGAGCAGGGGAAGAGGGGCTGAGGAAGGTGCTGCGTTAACGTGTCATGGAGGACACCATGCTATCTGTTCCCAGACTTGTTTCAGGGTAACAAATGATAATCTGGAGGAGACAGAGTGCATCTCATTGAGTTTGTGGATGACATAAAAATGAAAGGTACAGGGCCACCGCTCAGAGGGACAGGATCCTCACTAAAGTGAGCACTGCACTGGGATGGAGTGGTCCTGCAGAAGGGTTGGCCAGGGCTGACTGGCTGGGGGGGAGGGATGGGGCTGCTGGTGAACTGCAGGATGAGCAGGAGCCAGCCCGTGTGTCCTGGCAGAAACAGAGGCCGAGGGCACTCTGGGCTGTGTAACAGCGGCACAGTGAGGATGCTAAGGGAAGTGATCATCCTCCTCTGCTCTGCACTCCTTACGTCATATCTTGATATAGCAACCAGTATTGGGCCTTCCACACAGGAAAGGGCATCCACAAGGTTGAGAGAGTTCAGCAGAGGCCAACAAGATCCTGGGGGCTGCAGCACTTGCCCTGTAGAGGGCACTCTGGGCTGTGTAACAGCGGCACAGTGAGGATGCTAAGGGAAGTGATCATCCTCCTCTGCTCTGCACTCCTTACGTCATATCTTGATATAGCAACCAGTATTGGGCCTTCCACACAGGAAAGGGCATCCACAAGGTTGAGAGAGTTCAGCAGAGGCCAACAAGATCCTGGGGGCTGCAGCACTTGCCCTGTAAGAAGTGACTAAGGGAAGTGGACTTGTTCAACCTAGAGAAGAGATGGCTTTGGGGGATCTCACGGCAGCCTTCCAATATGTGTGAGGAGGTTATCGAGTGGACAAAGCCAGGCTCTTCACTATGGTGCACAGCAGGATGACAAGAGACAGCTGGCATAAGTGAAAACAACAGAGGTTTCAAATGGATGAGAAAAAAAATGCCACTCTCAGAATAAATAAGCATCGGTTCATGGATCCATAGGGGTTGCAGGTTTTCTATCCTTGGAGGTTTTTGAGATCAAACTGAACAAAGCCGTGAGCATCCTGGTCTGAATTCAGTTTTGGTCATACTTTGAGGAGGAAGCTGGACTGGAGATCTCACAAGGACCCTTCCAGCTTCAGCAATTCTCTGATTCTATTTCCAGAAGGGACTATGTGGAAGAGATGGAAAATCTCAGTGACCAGAATAACCCCAAGTCTTGAGCTCCTTGTGCAAAGACCTCTGAAGCACCTGGAGAAGGACCAGCATTTTATAGGTGCAACAGTAAACAAAGAGGACATGCCCTTCCTTTAGATCATGCCTGCAGACCCTGTGTCCACAAACTGCCACCAACCTCCCCATCTGCTTTTATGTTTAAGTCATAAATAAACCCAGCTTGCCTACAGGAGGGACTTCAGTGCTAAAGGGCTTGGCAGGAAATGTTCTGGGAGTTTCTGGGGCTAAAAACATGACTCAAGACGGGTCAGCTACTTAAAAGACACACTATCTCTCAAATGCTTAACACATACTTACATGGCCCATTCCAGCTTCTCATTCTTGATGGAGTTATATAGTGTCTGAAACGAGAACATGGTATTAGCTGTGTCTCTCGTGGAAGACATGTTTGGATTGTGGAGACCATCTCCTCCACACCCTGCCTGTGCTCCTGGAGAGATACCTTCCTTGCTCAACTTGTCCTGGAGAAGTATTCACCAGTGAGCAGGACAACTGCTGTCCTGCTAGACCTTGTGTCTATGTGCCATGCTGGGTATCAGACTGGACATGTGAGCAGCAGAGGGGTCTGGCAGCCAGCCTTGCTCAGGAGCCTGTATGTGACATTTCTTACTAATTCTGGGTGCTGTGCCTAGTCTGGGGTAAATCCTGGATGACACAAAGGTGGTAAAAGACTCTGGGGAATGCCAAGACACCTCCAATGTCTCAACTAGGCGAAAGGGATAGCAGAAGCTTGAATGCTGCCCTGAGAAGCAGGGAGAGATGAATGACCTTGGGAATCAGCTTTTCCTATTCCTCCTGTGCAAAATTCCAGTGGCTTCCCTGGGGCACTG